CACAGTCCTCAAATGAGCCCGCGGTATTGGTTACAGTAAAATTGATAAGGACTGAAAATGCCCAGGGCAGCAGAAACCAGGCCGGAGCTGCAAGCTCAGCATCTGAAGTAGGGACATGGGAGTGCGCGCGCCCAGAGGGAAGGCGGGCGGGAGACAGGGAGGGGGGGGCGAGACTCAGGAACACATTGTGTGTTCTCTAATAGAAATCTGAATCTAACACCACTGCTGGTGTTGAACATTTACAGTTAACACGGTTTAATTTGAAAACTAAGAGTCTGTGGCTGTGACCAGGAGTCATGAATCTGGGCCGCTGGAAGAAACGCGGGAGCTGTATCCCCCCAAGCACATCCTACTGATGCTCAGTCACCCACGGGGAGCTGACCTCAGCCATCCTCTCTGAGCCCAGGAGCTGGGAATCAGAATGGGCGGGTTTCCGTTGGTCCCCACATAGAACATGGAACTAGATAAGACCTCGGGGGGAGGCAGAGGCTAGAGGACTGGTCTGTACACTTGTATTCTCTAATAGCCACTAGCCAAAGGCAGCGATTAAGTTTAACTTCCGTGTCTTGGTCCACCCCAGCGATGTTTCAAGTACCCAATAGCCACATGAGCCTGGTGAATTGCATAGCAGACACTATAGACAGACAGCAGTCCACTAGAGTAGAATGTGCTATTGAGCGGCACTGGTTCCGCTTGCCCTACACTCGTGTGTGTTTGTGATGCTCCAATATTTAGTTCAAACAAAGGAAACTCAGTTCCCTCGAGCCAAGTCGCTATGGACTCATGGTGACCCTACAGGACTGGGTCGAACTGCCCCTGTGAGCTTGCAAAACTGTGACTCTTTGTAGGAGTTGACAGCCTTCTCTACCGGGACTCTTTAAAGGAACAGACAGCCTTGTCTTTCTCCACCCCCACCCCCCCAGTGGCTGGTGATTTCGAACTGCTGACCTTGCAGACCGAAGCCCAACATGTAACCACTATGTCACCAGGGCTCCTGCTAATACTTAGTAGGCCCTCAAAACTATGAGTTTCAATGAATGTCTGGTTTAGAGACAGCCTCTATCACACCTCAATCTGCCCGTGTCACATGGAAGAGAGTCTAATTATGAAACCATCTATGAGTGACCACTCCCAGCACACGGATTTGGAGCTAGCAATCATCGTATGTGGTAGACAGAGCCATAACACTTATTCAGAGCTTTACACAAATAGACTCCTCCTTGTTCTCAAGAGACACTCTTACAAGTGAGCCAAGACATAGAACCACTGAAGCCGTGCTCGGTGAAAATCTAACATGACAGACACCTCGACTGGATGCCAACCGCGTCACCCAAGGAATAACACAGCATCCCCCCAACTTATTGAAAACTGGGTATCAACGTGTTTGGCGGATGGTCCCACAAATGTATGCCTCGTGAGACTTTCTTCTTCAGACAGTTTCCGAATGTCTGCCGTGTGTGTGTGTGTAAAACAATTACAAGGGTGCCTCAAAAACGACAGAAAAGCTGAATTAAAAAAAATAATGGAATTTTTGCACCAACTTTGAAGCCCTCGTGTGTCTGGACAGGCATGTGTACCTTGTGTATATACACTACACCCACCTCCACGTATCTACACCTCCACGTATCTACACCTCCACATATCTACATGTACACGTATCTACACCCCCACATATCTAGTAGATGGAGGTTCTT